AGAAGTAAGGTGAAGTTGTCATTTAACACTCCCGGGCATTAGGAAGACATATTCTTTTTTCTTAGGTTGGTAGGACTGTCTGTAAAATTTGACAAGCGTCTGTTTGTCAAGAGGTTTAATTATCTCCGAGTTACACGTGTTTTCGTAAACAATCAAAATTTTGTTTGCGGAACGAATATTCTTGTGCGGACACGTTGAAAATGTTGCAGAAGGCCTTTAGTGATCAAACTATGGCACAAAAAAAGTTTATAAGTGGTGCCAAAATCGTTCAATTTTTTAGAAAAACAGCGTCGCGTTGATGTGTGTGAAACATTACTGGAGACGAGACTTGGATTTACGTATGCGACCCTGAAACTACCGACCAACCCAGCGAATATCGTGCAAATGGTGAAGCAAGACCGAAAACACCACGGCAAGGTCGATCGGAAGTCAATGACATGCTGACAGTTTTCTTTGATTATCGTGGTGTGGTGCACTATGAATTCCTTCCGCCGGGCCAAACCGTCAACAAGATTTCTTGAGCATCATGCGTCGTTTGCGTGAAGCTATTCGTTTGAAACGGCCGGAATTATGCGCGAACAACTTTTGGTTCCTTCATCACGATAACGCACCATGTCATACTGCATTGGTTCTTTCATATCGTTCTGCAACCGCCGAATTCGCCTAATTTGGTTCCGTGCGACTTCTGGCTATTCATCAAAATCAAAAGGCCAATGCGGGGATGGCGTTTTGACACGACTGAGGAGATAAAAACCAAATCGAAGAAGGTCTTGAAGGCTATACCGGAAAGAGACTATTCCGACTGGAAAAAGCGTTGGCAAAAGTACGTTTTATCGGACGGGGATGAAGGGAATGAAATTGATTTGGAAGGATAAGTGAAGAATTTAAATTTTATAAACAATTTCACCTTACTCTTTGATCACAGTATAAGCTAATTAGACAGTTTTGGAAATATTTCATTATATCTATACTTTTAAAAGGAAATACCATATTTTTGATCTTTGCGTTTATAAATACTAAGTGACATATACAATGCAACACCCAGAATGATGTATTGATTTTTCATAAAAACTTATTTGCTATCATGGAAGTATAGTTTTGCCGATAAAATGTTGAAGGCATGCCAAGCCGTACTTTTTTTGTAAAAGCTTTTTTGTCATATCAGCATCCGAACAATAGGAACATGTTTACTTAACATTCAGTGATTTTCCTGACTTTGTTTCATTGAATTATCATGCCTAGAGTTCGCAGACGCGCAATTTTACTCCATTTTCCGAGTTTCAGAGGGGTCGAGTAATTGGGTTACCTGAAACCGGATTTTCTTTTAGAGATATGGCTAATCGGGTGAATCGAAATGAAGATACTGTAATGAGATATTGTCGAGCGTAACTCCAAGAAGGCCGAAATCGACGAGTTAGAGGTACTGGACGTCAAAGACAGACTATAGAGCAACTAGCACTTAATGATCGATTTTCCACAACAAGGGCAGTCGAGAACCAGTGGTTTGATGCTGTCGGAAGGGCAACAACTATGAGGACAGTTTATTGCCGAATAAAGCCTTTTGTACCTTTTTCATACCGTCCCCATCTTGTACATAGTCGGCAACGACTTGAATGGAATATGGAATGGAACTCAGTCGTTTTCAGCGATGAGTCCAGATTCTGTTTGGGCACACATAACGGCCATGCAAGAGTAAGGAGGAGCCGTGGTGAAAGAAGGAACGTTCAATATTCCATCGAACAGCATATTCATCGCTCTGTGGGTGTTATGGTATGAGGTGCCATTGTTTACGGCAGCAGGTCACGATTGGTGTTCATTCGAGGTGGCATGACTGCCCAGCGCTATATCCACGAAGTTTTACAACCACATCTGCTTCCCTTTTTGGAACATTGCAAGATCCACTTTTTCATCAGGTATAATGAACGACCTTTTTAGAAGCGTCCTAAGTAAATCTGCTTCAGAGGGCTCTTCGATCTCCAGACCTTTCCCCCATTGAACATGTATGTGACACGACAGGAAGTGGGTTGCAAGATTCACCGCAACCTCCACATACATTGGAGGCTCTACGAAACTAAATTTAGATGGCCTGGGATACACACCAAGAAGACATACATCAATCACCAAATCGAATCACTGCAGCGACGACTTAACGAATGTGTAGCGAACAGAGGAGCTTGAATACATTATTAACATTAAAGTGGGATATCTCAGCTATTTTGCGAAATTTCGAGTTAAAATTTTAATCACTTTCTATTTATCAGTAGACCTAAAACTTGCAAAAGTATTTTCAAAATTTAGTATATCTGTATCAGTCATTAATACATGCGGAACAGAATCCTTAGAAACTGTACACCGAATGTATATTAACCAGATACCTATACTTTGTTTCCAATATTGGTAAAATAGATTATACCTAAAGTATAATCAATCTCATCCATAGTAAAATTAATTAATTTTACTTGATATGGTTTACTGGAAATAAACAGATCATAATTAATAAAAAACAATCATATACGCATAATACAAACACCATCATCTCAGGTAGGCGTAACATGTTAACGACAACTGAGTAAAAAGCTTAACAATCGTATATAAAAGGTTTTCTCATCTCATTCGATTCAATTCAATTTTTTCAATTCAATTCTTTATTTGTGTTAAGTACACCAGCGTGTTTACACATGTCAAAAGAAAAAAAAATAGTACAAAAAGCAGTCTGACAAAAGACCGATGTTCAAATTTAACAGGAAAACATCAACTTATGACATTATGATTCAACAAAAGCAGATACAGCAAGTCCAATAAGTTGTAAAAACAGGAGGACATATATACGTACATAGATACACGCATATTCATTTAACCACAATACGTATGTTTACTTCACACACACACACATATATACACATATACACATATATACGTTAAAATGGTAAGACATATGAAATGTTGATATAAGGATTTACCAGATGACTTAGTAGAAAGTTCAAGGAGCCTAGAGGATCCGAGGTGTAGGAATACTGTTATATTTGCTAACAATCCGACAAGTCTGAAAAATTATTAATCAAATACTCCTTCATCGAGTAAAATGCTTTAGTAGTCAGATAAGCATTAATTTTATTTTTAAAAACTTTCGCATCCAGTTTCTTTATACGGTCTGCCAACAGGTCATAAAAAAGTATCCCATAATAGTTTGTGCCGTTCCTGATGGTTTCGAGACGGCTATGAGGTACTAAGATTTTATCCATATTTCTGGTTCTATTACTGTGGACATCACTGTGGGTAGTATATCGGCTCAGGTTAGTCTTTATATACATCAGACGTGTGAAGATGTAAACAGAAGGTACTGTCATGATTTTCAATTCTATAAAAGCTTCCTTGCAAGGTTCCGTGTATTTGAGGCCAGCAATGTACCGCTGTAATACAAAAACTTTTGACCAATGGGCCGACTGGCCCCAGTTTAACAATGCGTATGAAATTCTTGGTTGAAAGTAGGAATAATATGTTAGAAGAAGGACTGACTGAGAGACATTTTGTTTCATTAATGGAGAATCTAGAAATGCCAAGGAACAACATTCTGGCATAGATTTGAAAACAGCAGGTGAACGTTTTTATTTGTGAATTCTTTTGTTGTCTGGTTCAGTTGGAAATATAGATGCAGATTTTCGATTCGTCCAGGGACGGGTCAAATAAGAGCGGACGTCCAATTTCCTAGGAAGGTGTAAGGGAGTCTGATGACATCTCAAAGAGACGAAAGAACAGTAAGAAGCTTTGCTAGAGTTGGATGACTCCGAAAATTGAACGAAAACCTGGCATTTGTGGGAAAATTTTCCGAACTCGAATCATATTTAGTGGATGCACTTTAACATGGATTAAGTGGCTGTAAGGCGACAATCCGGTGAAAATTTGTTAGATCAAAAACATCCGAATAAATTATGGGTATTTTTAGTTTTTCTTTATTATTTAGCCAATTTTTGAGTTGTAAGCAATTTCAGATCTGTGAACCTCTAAAAACGGACATCTTCAATAGTCAATGCTTGGAAATTCGGTTAAAAATTATAAGTTTTAAGTTTACCAAGTGTCTCAATTAACGTCCAAATCTTTCACGCATAAACCTCGAAATTGGCCAATTTCAAGGTTTTTCAGAGTTTAAATCGCGTGTAAGTAAAAACGTTAAACTTTAGAGAAAGGTTACAAGACTTTTTTGTCCCGAATGATCCAAAAAATCTAAAATAATATTGGAGCGACCATACCAATATTTGGCAATAAGATATTTATATTAATTATAGACAAGATGACATTTCGTCGGTTTCCTTTGACGCTTTTTAGGTTTTTTACATAATAGCCCTGCCGGTAATCCCTCTTGTTAAGGGGAATCAAACAAACAAGATGATAAAGACTAATCGACTTGTCTCATGAATCAAGGTTTCTGCCCCGTCTAGGAGAGTACCCGTCTGACGTCTTATGTCTCAAGGTCACTTCCCTTACAGATGGCACATTTCGATGCATAAATCTTGATCAGTAACTCTATATTAACCTTGGAGTCGGTTACAGTCGTTCAATTCTGTGTGAAAGGCTATTTACTGTTTGAAACGTTTCTTCTAAAGCCCAGGGGGTTTTTATACCTTTCTGGAGTGGTTGAATTGAAAATTAGCAATATTGAGACAAGGCAACTTTTTTATCGAAATCAGGCAAGGTTATATTTTTCAGACAAATGATCGGGCACTTCCAAAATAAATCTTCATTAAAAGTATTGTATTAAGGCTAGTACATGCCTAGTGGAATAAATGAGTTAACTATCAAATTTCATTGGATTATCGGAATAAACTATTGTAATTTTGATCAAACCATATAGAAAAAAAACTATTTCTCCAAAACAAAGCGACATTTTGGAAATCGTCAAACGACAAGCCAGTCGAAAGATAGTCCAAATAATCACCCTTTGATTTTTGCGCTATGTTATAAAAACATTCTGCAGATATTTAGTTCTTTCTCGGTTGTTACAGGTCACACACGGAAAATCAGCATCCCGAATTGCGTAGAGTTCCACATGACAACAAATGCCTGCCGCGGATACTGCGAAAGTTGGGCAGTTCCCTCCAGTCCTCTCATTACCCCTAGCCAGCCAGTGACGTCCGTTGGAGAATGCTGCAACATCATGGAAGCTGAGCCAGTCGAAAAAAAGGTACCTGCTTTGATATTCAAATGTATCTACAACTTCAGATGGAAACTAAGCGTTAGTAAAAGGCGGAAAATGTAACAGAGCAAATGATTTTCATTTAGATACCCGAGAGTCACATACAGAAATGATCCCTTAGGGTTAGAGACCCTCAACGGGTAAAAATACCTTCCATCACCTCATTATATTTAGCTAGATACTCTCTAAGCAAATCTGCAAAAGAAAGAAACGAAAAGCCTAATTGCCTAATTGCTTTGATGTCTAACACTTTTTATTATTATTATGATACAGGAATATTTGTGATATTTGAATTGACATGTGATGATATTCTCATTCTCACAGGTTTTAAGTCAGACTCCAAAATGGATATTATCACAGATTTCAGCTATGTTACGTAACACACTATACCGTGTCATAGCTACTATGAACATGTTAGGATATTATGGATGCCAGGTACGGTAAACGCTCCGTTTCAGTAGATACAATTGTTGGCATTGAAACTTTTCCATTCCATTTCGTTTTTCACTTCTACGTGAATCCGTGATTTTCGACGGATTCCTTCATCTTCCGTAACTAAAAATCTCACAACAAAAACAGGTTCATAACACCTTACGGTATAGTGGATATTGCTTCATATTTAACAGCTGTAACGCTGAATGTTGGCGGCAATAATAACCGCGTTGGGAAGCAGGAATCGCCCCTATGTCGCTGCCTGGCGTCATCTATCGGTGTTTACCGGATCTGGAACATCTGGAACTAACCTCGTAACTCCAGGATTCTAGAACAGTCCGAGAAGTGGGCGTCGCGTACTTAGAAGTCAGAAGCGGGGTGAATACAGTTTAGTTGGGAGTGAGCCAGGGAAGAGCAGTCGACGCTAATGAGAACCAATAAAAATTCGTTACAATACAAAGAATACTGTCGGGTCGGATACGATTCTTGTATGTTACGGTATAACGGGCAGAGTTTACATGCTAAAATGAGGCAAAGTTCAATTACTTGGAAGTCAACAGTCATGATAACTGCTTAACTCTGGTAACTAGCTTTAGTGAATAACAATTTTATTTACGATCAGTATCTTTTTTTTATGTCTGATTCTGTGCTTTTGATGTTTGCAGGTACTTTGCGTTGACGGAGTTAGGACCCTGATCTTTAAATCGGCTGTCACTTGTTCGTGTTACCATTGCAAGAAAGACTAAGGACTCATGCCACTTCTGTAACATAAAGCCATCACTGTAAATTTGAATAAACCTATCTATATTGTATATATTGTGCTGACTGACCTGACTGATTTTATTGTACATTAAGTTCATTAAATGGTTTTATTTCTTAAAACTACTTTTTAATAAGTTAGCTTCATAAGGCCGAATGCACTTGGTTTCTGCCTGTGGGACCCAGCGAACAGCATAGAGCACTGATTCATTCTTGTTTGGGATTCTTAGAAGGTACAGTTTTTAAAAATAAGCGAAATAATGTAAACAGAATATATTCTCTGGATAAACTACTGTAAGTCTGCTCAAAAAGTTGGTCAGTACCACGCACTGTTTGACGGAATCGGTACAGTCTGACCCCTATGCCGAGGATACAGATACAGGCTGTCGCTGGGTAACCCTAGTTTTAACGTTTTTCTTTATGAAAGAACTTTCGAAATTAATTTTACTAGGCTATATCCTTCAAACCATCCGTTATTCCTACTTCCGTTCGAGATGTTTACCGAATAAACATACCGAGTTTCACTAGACTATATTCAGCAGTTCTCTCCAGACCATCGAACCAAATAGCACAATGGCACCCGCAGCCGTGGCCGCCCCTTTCAGTGCGCCCAATCTCATCCGAGATGTACAACCTTAATTTCACTATATTTTATCCGTTACTGATCCCGACTTTATAGGATGCTCGGGTATTATGTAAAAAAAACTAAAAAACGCCAAAAAAAGCCAACAAAATGTCATCTTGCAGAAGATTTTTAGTGTGCAAATAGTTCATCCCACGTTTGCTCGCTATGATCGCTGTTCGCTGACGTTTAAGCAACACGTACAGCTACAAAACGAGTTCACAACAAGTGTACAGCAACCTCTGCTATGTTAACATGATGTAGAAAAACCAACGTTATGTCACAAAAAAACCTACGAAATGTCACTTTTCAACATACGTAATGCCCGTGCCGATGTTTCGAGTAATCCCGCGAGAACAATTTCACCAGACCATATCCTTTAATCTACACGGGGATATCGAGCAATTCCTTTCAGGGAGTTTGCCAAATATAAACTTTTAAGGTTAATCTCACCAGATTATATCACTTAAACTATACATGGCATTGACTTCTCCAGTTCAAGATGTTTGCCAAATAAACTTTAGAAGTTAATGTTACCAGACTATATTCCTTGATAAACCACCACCAAGATAATTTAGTCTGGTGAAACTAATTTTGCAAGTTTGGCAATATAAACTTTTTTTGGACAGAGGAACGCCATCATAGCTACCTTAGGTAAAAAAAGACAGTATTGCCTGCCGACTTTTCTGGACTGATGAGTGAGATTTTCCAGAATCCCTCAGTCATTGGCTACACAGAGGCCATGGCCTCCTGCCTCCTCCCATACGCCACTGGTAAGTGAAAACAAAAGTACTGTATCATCTATACTGGTGGACAGTTGCCTTGCAACATGGAAAAATTTACCCAAATTTAAATCTCGATATTTTCGGAACGGAAAGAGATATGGAGTTACGGTATTTGGGAGATTCTTGACCAACTCTTTGAAAACACGTACAGGGTTTCACCGATATATTTTTCTTCTTTATCCACTTATACAGAGTGAACAAAGGAAGTCAGGTTCTATAGCAAAGTTTGGGGCTATGTCAAATCCTCAATTTTTGATCCTGTAAATTTTTCTATGCATATTTTTGATCTTTGAACAATCCTAAAAAAACCGTTTTCTCAAATTTTTTGCAAGTTGGCTATAACTCAAATTATCGAATTTTAAAAAAGTGTTTCGTTTATCCCTAAAAAGGGATGTCTTGAGAATGGTTTTTCTCATACTGTTGCATAAAGTGGAATTTCTTGCTCCCAAGAAAATATTGTTACTGTGTCCAGTGGCATGTAGTAAGAATTCGCTACTTTGACACTATGTAATTTAAACCGAATTTATAAATTTTACTGTGCAGTTACTACTCTTAATATAGTGACGTAACACCAAAAGCATTTTTTGGCTTGATAAAAAGTGCTAATATCTGAATTTTTTTTTCAACGTGCGGATGCTGGCCAACACTGGTTATTAATCTTTTATCTGGAACTTTTTATCTTTCTCATTGAGCATTGTCGTACGCGTCTTCTTTGGTGATGTTTTCCAATAGGTAATAGACTCTATTAAATTTTTAAACAACAGCACCTTATTGATTAACATTAACAATATGTAACATTCTAGAAAAGAAAAATTTGAAGACCAGACCTAAATTATTTATTTATGACAAAAGCGAACTTCTTTCAAAACCGCAACAGTTATTTTAAACAATATTGTTAGTACCTTGTAGAGCCACCACGCACATCGATCAGAGCCTGGCATTTTGTGTTGACTGCACTAAAATTTTTAGTCGAGACCACATATGCTCAATTATGTTTAGGTATGGAGGCTTTGATGGCAGAGGCAATAATGTAACATTATTTTCTGCCAAAGGGATTATAATCGTACGAGCTTTGTGCGGCCTGACGTTATCATCGATGAAGGCAAAAACCTCCCCAAAATCTTGTACAGGCGGTAAAACAATATTGTTTAAAACTGCAGCATTGACTGTCCTGTTTGAATTGAAGAGTTAGGTTTTACCATTTGTGCATAACTCCAGCCCAAACAGTAATGCCACTTCCACCAAAGGCCTCTTGTGGAGCCAAATTTTCTTCATCATAGCTTGCCTCCAAAAAAGGTCCCTACCATCAGAGTGGTGCAGGTTGAAGAGTGTTTTATCGGAGCGTGCATTTTTGCCATTGCTGATGCCAATTTTCCAGCTCCTGTGCCCATTGGTACCTGGCGACTCTATGGTTGTTCCAGAGTCGGGTGCACTTGGCGCGACGCCTTGCTCTGGAAGAACTGATACTTAACCAAAAAAGTACCTGGTAAATTTTTTATAACATTAACATACCTTATCAATTTAGAATTTAAAGATCTTCTTACAATAAGTACGATCATTCACTAAATGACCTTCTGTCAATAATCTTAGACAATTATCTCGTTCTTTTTGAAAAAACCAGGCATCTTTAAGAATATAAAATTATGCTGTCAAGTTTACAGTCAATATTATTGTTACTTAGCAATTGCACTTTGAGGTGTAGGTAGTTAGGATGAAACAGGAGAAACGTCATATTTGCATGAAGAGGGTAATCCAAAAAAAAAATATATATGAGGTCGAGCCGGCATTTATTGCGGAAAATTAAAAATTCGATTAATTGAGTTATAGCCAAGTTTCGAAAAATTTGAGATATTACTTTTCTAAGGATAGTCCAAAGATCAATATGCAAAGAAAAATGTCCAAGATCAAAAATTGAGAATCTGACAGCCCCAAACTTTGCTAAAAAAACTGACTTCTTTTGCTCACCCTGTATAAGCGGATAAAGAAAAGAAATATGCCGGTCGAACCGTGTTCTCAAAGAGCTGGCCAACAACCTCCCGAATACAGCAACTCGATAGTTCTTTTCGTTCCGAAAATATCGAGATTTGAATTTGGGTAAAATTTTCCATGTTGTAAAGCAAATGTTCACCACTTTATCTTTCTGTGCTCATGAGCAAGTAGCAATTGCGCTACGGATCGGCTTACGCAGAATGCAACTCCTCTTAGGGAAATTAAGCTACGCGCGTGGGACCATTAGCAAAGAATACAAAGTTACATGTAGAAGGAGCACTCACAGAAAAGCCTGACTTCTGACGATAGCGACATTTTTCTAAGAACTCTGATCCTTTTTTTTATGATGGCTCACTTGAAGAGGTCCCCAACTTTATTGCTGTATACAAGGCAGTGCTGTCATACTATGCCAAGAAATTGTTTGTAATGGGATGGAGTGATTTTATTTATACAGGGTGATTAATGTTATTTTTGTTTTTATGGCACGGACAATGGTTGACAAATATCGTTTGCTTAAAGAATTGCGAGTTGAAACATAGTCTTTAGCCTCTTCGTCAATAATTGGCGATTACTCACCTGTTGTACTGACTTCATTGTCATTACGTAACCCCAGCAACCACTGTGCCGATTTTATAAAACTTGGAATATACTGTATGGTCACACGTTTGAAAATGGATGTAAAAGGGCGTTGACTTAAGTAAATTGCAAATGTTTTTTTAATTTCTGATATAAACTACAAGGGATATGGTATGAGTGTGACTGCAAGAGGTGTACCATCAGAAACTATTCAAAACAAATATACAGGTCAAACCAGTAATATAGTCATCAGATCTCAAACTAGGCTCCAGTTTGAATATGCTGGAATAACAATAGTTGTCCAAATCGTAACACCACATCGAGGCACGCAGCACCAAGTTGATATAGTGTATCGCCCTGTACAAATCAGACAGCCACGCGACCCACTTCGGATAGGATGTCCGCCATCGACTACCTGGACAGTTATAGTACAGGAAGTGTCTTTGCATCTGCTTAGAAGCATACTTTGCTTGTTTTTTCGCATAACCTCATTCTAAAAATATCGCTTTTAACGGATCAGCATGTTGCCAGTCCTAAAATTGGGTCAAAATTGTTTTTCTTTTTCTTTAAGGTTGTGCAAAAAGCCTAATAGGAATATTTTCCGGAGCGAAGATAATTCCTGGACTATCACCGCAGGTAATGAACGGGTGATCGCATGCAAGTAGCAGGTAGCACTTCAAGCACCAGAGGTATCATGTCAGCCACCGCGGCAGAATCTGTTTTTTTCGATAGTGTCTCGTCTGCTGATAACACTGTATTCTTTGACATTAGTCAATTTGTTCAATTATTTTGTATGGCATTGTGATGTAACCGCCAAAAACTACGAAGAGAGCCATAGGTCATTTTTCTAATTACTGCTACTCTCTGAAGTTCCTCTACTGCCAACGCCGATATTGGATAGTCTGCATTCCTCAGCTCAACGGCACTCTAACTTGTTGTTTCAAAAGCTAATGATCTAACAAATAGAAAATTAAATGCATATCTTTGTATCACTAACGAGGAATGTATAATCAAATTTAATTGCGAGTATTTTGATTTCATTTTGCTTTACATCAATTACGCGATTTACCCAAGCAAGCCTATGTGATAATTGCTCAGAAGAATCATGTTCTAAAAATCATAATTCAGAGATGCACTTTAAATGAATTAAT